TGGGGCAGGGACTCCATTTAAGTAACTATAAAGGTAGTTGCAATCTATTATCCCAATGCACTTATTCATTTATCTTACACCAACCAAGTTGAAGACCTTCACTTCCAGGCCAAATCTATTCAGTCCAGTTCCATTCAACTACAGATGCAGTGGATTGTCCTCTGCACTCAAGTTAAAGGGCACAGTCTTCCAGACTCCAAAATCTATCTAAGATCTCTAACAGGAGTCATAAACTCAAGGCTTCTCAGCCCTCACCCCCTCACTTTTGAAATGCTGATTTTCTTTACCCCCTGTAGCTCAGTAATTCCCTAGAAAGTTTCACAGAACTGACAAGACACTGTATTTATGGTAATAGTTTTATTATAACAAAAACTAAATAAAAGAAAAAAATTAAGCAAATTGCACAATGCATTGGGCAAACCTGCTGCACAAAAAACTCTTTATAAAGTGTTGAAAAGCAAGGATGTCACTTTGAGAACTAAGGTGTTCCTGACTCAGATTATGATGTTTTCAATTCCTTGCATGCATGTGAAAACCAAACAATGACTAAGGAAAACAAAGAAGAATTGATGCAATTGAATTATTGTGCTAGCGAAGAATATTGAAAGCACCGTCACCTGAGAGAAGAACAAACAAATCTGTCTTGGAAGAAGTCCAGCCTGAATGCTCCTTAGAAGTGAGGGTGGTGAAACTGTCTCATATCATTTGGGCATTTTGTGAGACGAGACCAGTCCCTAAAAAAGGACATCATGCTTTTTATAGTTGAGGGTCACCATAAATGAGCAAGACTTCTAAAGAGCTAGATTGACACGGTGGCTGAAATAATGAGCTAAAACATAACAACAAATATGAGAATGGCACAGGGCTGGGCAGTGCTTTGTTCAGTTGCACATGCAGTTGCTATATGCCATATATGATTTTTTAAAGGCTATCAACAACCACATAGGGCAAAGTCCAGGAGTATTCTCAAATTTAAATTTCAATGTTCCTCTTATTACCAACCAGGAAGCCCAAGAATGCCTATGGAGCCTCCACATTAAGAGCCTTTGTTGGGATCTTATGGTATAGATGTGATTAATCAAACCAGTCACACACACACCCTTCTCCACACTCCACAGCTTGTCCTGATAGCAGGACTCCTGTCTTTCTGGCCTGATCAACCTCAACTAAGAGTCACCTTTTAAGCATAAACCCTCCAGTATAGTCTGGAGGCTTCTTCAGACACTTCAATCACAGGGAAATTTGTAAGGTTTCAGAGGTGATTTCTCAGGAACAAAGGTCAAGGACCAAATTATTTGGCTAAATTTAATTGTAAACCCCATAGTAAGAGAAATAGTATTTGAGGAGTATGTCTTTCCGTATATTCCATTGCTCTTCCTTGAATATGATCTTTCATCATACAAATAACAACAAAATCAATTAAGCATTAGCTTCCTTAATACAATTCCTTCCAGCCTCCATATCTCAGTGGGAACAGCCAAGCAAAATATCAGCAGCTAAATATAAATGAAGATTAATGAGCATCTCCTGGTACCTACTCCAATTGAAAACCTCACCCAAGTTGTGTTCATCAAGAGAACTCAAACACAAGAAACAACCTTCCTTCCAAGTTCTGGAGGCATTTACTTGTCCCTTTACATATCACATAATTGAAATCTAGCCTTGTAGTTTATAATGATACAATGAATTTCTAATGAAGAATCCATGGCTCTATTGAATGCTACATAACATATGGACTAGACCATGTATTTTTGCATCCCACCTGGTGAAAATGTCAACATAAAAATAATGATATTGTGAAGCTCCTTAAAAGAGAAATAGATGGTATTGGTATAACTTCTTATGAAATATGTTCTCCAAAATGTCATAAATAACATGAAGTCATTTTTAGTAAAAATATTACCCCAACGGTTAGATTGTAGCTGTATTTCTAGTCTTGGACACATTGAGCAATGAAAACTTCTTTGATACTTCAATGTTTGAGAGCAATCAAGATGGTCATTTTCTGAAGAAACCATATCAACTTCTTTCAAAGGCTTGCTCAATACTGATTGCTTCTTGTTCTATGAACTAGGAGCATCTGCTTGGCTATAGTAAGAGAAACCCAGGACTAAACGCAACACATTAGAAGTGATTAAATATATGTGCAAAGTAGAGCATGTCAATTATTTTATTAATTTGTGCATACTTTAACTTTTATTTATCTTTGGCAATAGTTGAATTATTTGAGATCTACAGTCTTTAAATCCAAGAAAAACTCACTTCAGAAACAATAAATGTCTTCAAAACAATGTCCAATGACATTATAAAGTCAGCTCTTAACTATGCATGTGAACAGAGCCCAGCAATATAGGGGTAATAGGCACTAGAAATACTTCTCAAACTTTATTCTGACTAAAAGTTAAAGCCTCACACATAACGGAAACTCTTCTTGAACACTGAACATGAACATAGCAAAATTGAGTGGGTAGATATTTAATTTTGTTATCCCCTATCTTTTGGTTGAAGCACAAGACAGTAGTCAATAAACCACAGAGACAGAATAGCAAAGGGGCGACCTTATTCACATATTAAATAATAAAATCCCCAAACATAAATCTACTGCCACTGAGTCCCATTCCAACTCATAGTGATCCTATATGACAGAGTGTAAAATTGCCCCTGTGGGTTTCCAAGACAGTTGATCTTTGTTATGGTTGTTGTTAGGGGCCATCAAACCAGTTCCCACGACAGCAGTCCTTCACACAACAGAACAAAATACTGCCTGATCCTGTACCAGCCTCACAATTGTGATGTTTGAGCCCACTGTTGAAGCCAGTGTGAAAAATCCATCTTTATTGAGGTTCTCTCTGTTTTGCTGCCTCTCTATACTTTAAAAAGCAGGATGTCTTTTTCTAAAACATTATACTTGGTAAAGTAAATCTTTTTTTTTTTAAGGAGAAAATGATGGTTGCAACCTGTTCACTTTGTCCAATATGCAACAAACTACACTACCAGGGCTCACAGATAATAAAAATTATTTACTAGTCTAGTGTCACATATATAGAGATATGGGATTACTGGAGAAGTCATACAACTTTACAAAGATGTCTGCAAGAAGTTACCTCATTGAACTTGTCTCATGGTAACCATTTTAGCAAGCCCTAACAGACATAATTGCATTTTTGATGTCACTATGCAGTTTATTTGAATTGTCTATGAAATAAAAAGGACTAATGCTGAAAAAGAATGTTACCACTTTGAAAACAGTATAAAACCTCACTTAAGACATTAAAGCACATAAATATTTAATTCAAATAGATTTTGAGCTACCAGGCTTATATTTTTGTAAAATTCATTTTTGTAGCAATAAAACATTACATATATCCTTTCATCTTTACAATTACATTCTCCAAAGCTCCCTATAGCTTGAATGTGCACTAAGCCTGAATCAGGACGGGTTGATCAGTGTGTGAAGGCTCATACAATAAATCAGTGTTGGATCTCTGAATTACTGAATTAAAACTGTAGGGATTATAGTTGGACAAATGATGAGAAGGATTCTGGAATTTCCTTTATTTCTTCATGAATAAAACAGACAGCCATCTCTTGCCTATGTGTCTGGAAAAATAAACAAACAAAAAGTCTTCTTATGAACCCTGCCCAGCTCTCCAGTGATTACTCTATATCTTTAACAGGGGTCCTCAAATTATGGCCCACGGGTCACATGCGGCCCGCTGAGGACATTTATCCGGCCTGCTGGGTGTTTTTCCCCCGTTTGTTTCTTTACTTCAAAATAAGATACGTGCAGTGCGCATAGGAATTTGCTCATAGGTTGTTTTTTTTTTTATTATAGTCCAGCCCTCCAACGGGTCTGAGGGACAGTGAACTGGCCCCGTTTAAAAAGTTTGAGGACCCCTGCTAGAAGGAAGATCATGTTTGGTTTGATAGCAACCAAACGTGTTGTTATCAAATTGATTCCTAATCAGAGCAACCCTAGATAGCAATTTTGCGAGTAAATTTTAACCAGGGCAGATAACTTCAGCTTTCTCCCTTGAGCAGCGTGTGGACTTGACCCACCAACCTTATGGTAAGCAATTAGTGAGCCTAATCATCCACCTGTAGATAATTCCATTTCTCTAGTGTTTCCCCAGATCATCTATAATTGCTTGCCTTTTTCTTCGCGTCTTATCAGCCAGCTCACCAGACCATTATGTGGGTGGTAAAGAAGCAAGCCTTATTACTAAGAGTAAATAACAAAGTTTAAACTCTGTAGGAAGTTTATGGACCACGGGCCGCCAGAACTACAACCAGAATGCATCTTAGAAGCAAGGATGGCAACTTCCTCTCGGTGCTTAGGGCATCTGGAGAGATAGTCCTAAAATGCCCATCATGCTTGTTAAAGTAGAGGCGCAGCAAAAGCGAGGAAGACCTTTGACACATAGATTGACACAGCGGTTGCAGTAGGTTCAAACAGAACACTCGTAAGGCTGGTGCAGGAGCCATGTTTCATTCTGTTATACATGAGGTCTGGGAGGGAGGTCACTTAACAAGAACAGGGAGATGCTGCCCCCAAGGCAAATCATTAAAATACTGGACAAGTAGCCAACGTTCCTGGTCCAAGATTGAGTACTTTAAGCTCCTTAAAGATCCTTGGTCAGAAGTCATTCACGGGTCCCCTAACCCTCTCCGACTGAATTCGGGAGGCAGAACTCTTAAAACTTGCGGGGTCATTTGGGAAAACCACAAAGCGAAAGAAGCACTGCATCAATCTCCCGTGCTGGTCCAGCATGGCGAGTTCAGAGTGGTTAACTAAGCGGGAACCTGCAGGACCAATGGGCGAGACTACTGATAGTCACCAGCGGGGTGGGAGGCAGACACGCCCCCTGGTGGTGCAACAGCCGTCGCGGCCCGTTCACTGGCCTCACTCCCCACAGGGCGCCCCCAAGGGGACGCATGCGCTCTGGCCCACAATACCCGCCACCGCGGCCCGCCCCAGCCGACGCGGGCAGGAAGGATACGCTCCAAGTAGTAGGCGCCTTCGGCGGCCACTGCGTCCTCGGTTTCCACGGATGACAAGTCCACGCCCATCGCTTCTTCCAGGGCCCGCAGGGCTGAGTTGGGCTTCCTTTGAGGCGCAGCCATTGCCACAGCGCCGGCTGGCCGGGCACCACTGTCCCTAAGGGCAACCGCCGCGACGCTTGCCGTGAGTGCAGCTCTCGCGAGAGTTCCGTCCATCCTCGGCGGCCGGTCGCCTTTAGCGCGCTCTGGTTACGGAAGGGGCACCGTGCTTCCGGGCGCAGACGCCTCCCGCGCTTTCCCGGTTACCCGGACAACGTTGTTGCCCGGCTACGCCCAGAGCGCAGCACGCAGCTACCAAAGGACAAGGTCAAAGAGGCAAGAAGTTGTCCCCTTGGGTTATATCGTCTTTCCGCCGCAGCCTCGTTTTCTTTGTTTTGAACCAATCACGTATTTCTCGTTTTACTTTCCTAAATTGCCTTTCGTACATGCTCATCAACATTCCCCGGATTTTATATGCTTATAGAGCCCTGTTGATAAATTCCAGAAAAAAGGAAGGGTGGGGGGGGGGATTCCTAGAAATCATGAGCCCTTCCTAGAAATCTTAATTTTGTGATTTGACTCCAAAAAGCTACTGACTCTCTCTCTCTGGATAATCATCAATAAAGAACTAGGGGAAGTCACCTGAATTAATTCCATTCTTGTTCTTCTTTAATACATTTAGCTGAACATCTGTTTGACGTGGGATAGTATATAGTAGTATTGATTCTTGCTGCGGTAAAGCCACATTTGTAAGATGATGAAGTGCCAACAACCCTAACATGACTGTATATTAGATATTTGTCCAATTGTATAATGCTTTTGTTAGCATCTTCTCTGGGTTTTCATTTTGTATGTATTAGAGGCATCTGAAAGATGCATTTCTTTGCAGATTATTTCTCTCCTACATTTTGTGATGCAAACCAAATGCCAAATCATGTTTCAAAATGAAAGCTTCCATCTATAACCAAAAATTAGTAGTGGAACTTTTATTGTGATTTTTATTTATATTTTATATATAAAACAAAATATTTGCTAATTCAACAATTATTATATATGTACTTCAGTGACATTGATTGCATTCATCATGTATAGCCATTAAGTAGTGATTTCTTAATGAGGTCATTTAAGAGTGAGCTTTGGCCAGAGAGCTGAATTCAAAACCTGGCTCCACTACTTCCAAGTTCTGAAACCTTGGGCAGACTACTGATTGCCAGTAGACCTCAGTTTCCTCATTTGAAAAAAATAATATAATATTAAAATCACCTATCCCCCTGCTATTGTAAGGATTAAAACCAAAAATATTAATAATTTCCTAGGCAGATGGTTGGCACTAAGAAATGTAAGCAATTATTGTTTGTTTTGTATAATAAGGGTTGTGTCAAATTAGATTTAAGTTGGAGAAGTGAGCCTGAGATCAGATTTGAAAAAAAATATTCAAGCTTCCAGCGTCAATATTGAAGGATTTATTGGCAAGATATTTATTAAAGGCGAAAACATAAAGAACATGGAAGAAATAAACAGTCACTGTGTCCAAAAAATATTTGGTCATTGTTTAACCATTTCAGGTGGTAGCATATAATCAGGAAATAATTATAATCAAGAAGGAATTGGCAGAAATAAAAAAGGATCCAGGAACTGATGGAATACCAACTACAATATTTCAACAAATAAATTCAACTTTGGAAGCGCTCATCCATCTATACCAAAAAATTTGGAAGACAGCTACTAAACCAACTGACTAGAAGAGATCCACCTGTGGCCATTCCAAAGAATATAGGTCTAATAAATGTGGCAATTGTTGAACTCTATCTTTGATATTTCAAGTAAAACTATAGCTTCAGCAGTAAATCAACAGGGAACAGCAAGAAATTCAAACTGGATTCAAGAGGATGAGGAATAAGGGCTATCATTGGTGATGTCAAATGAATCATGGCTAAGAGCAGAGAATATCACAAAGATGTTTACCTGTGTGTTATTGACTATGGAAGAGCTTTCAACTGTGTGGTCCATAACAAACTAAGGATATATTTCAAAGAATGATAATTCTATTACATAGAATGGTGCTTATGTAGAACTTGTACAGGAGCCCTGGTGGCATAGTGGTTACATGTTGGGTTGATAATTGAAAAGCCAGCAGATTTTAAAGACCTCTTAAATCACTTTGAAGGCTAAACTGCACCTGACCCAAGCCATGGGCTTTTCAGTCACTTTGTATGATGCCTGCGAATTTGTGTGTTGGTGAGGAATAATGAATATGTCATGGCCCGACATAGAAATAAATTATGCTGGAAGTACAGCCATAATGCATGCACCTTGGAAGTGAGGATGACAAGACTTTATCTCACATACTTCGTACGTGTTATCAAAAGGGACCAGTCCATGCAGAAGGACAGCATTATTGGTAGGTCAGTGAAAATCAGCAAAACCCTAAATGAGATAGTTTGGAATAGTGGGCTGCAATAATGGGCTTAAATATAGTAATCATTGTGCGGATGGCAAAGGACTGGGTAATGTATTGTTCTATTGTACATAGAATTGATATGGTTTGGAGTCCACCCAATGGCACCTAACAACAGTTATTAATTGAGAAATTGACCAGACATTTAAGAGGATTAATGAGGCTAAATGGTACATACAAATTCTTTGGGGATGGATTCCATTCATAAGGATGTTAGGTAGAGTAATATAACACTTAAACAAAAATTCATATAAAGATGTGATATTTTAACTATGACTTTTACAGATTTGGGAATAAAAGCATCATAGGCATATGTAACTCTTACCCAAACCATACGTTTCATCACCACTTCTAAAGTTGACAAAGCCATCACACAGCTTGACTGAAAGGTGATGTGGGACAAGGGCAGGTGAAGATCTAAATGCAACTAAAGGAATGGGCAGTTTATGTCTACTCTAAGTCATTCCCATTCTGCATACAAGAAAGCTGATGGTGCCC